AATTGACGAGAGTCTTGGAGAGAAGCCTCAGAATCCCTGGACATTCCTCTCCCCCCTCTTCCCCATTCTGCGACAGAACGCCCATTCAGACTCTGGCTCTGGCTAGCGCCGCCGTTGCTCATCGAGGCTCATCCGAGGCTCATCCCCTGCCCTCGTCAGGCTCTAGCTGCGTGGGCCCTGGGTGACTTAGGCGGGGACCTGGAACCAGGAGGGGGTCTCAGAGGAGTCAAGACATAATCACAAGTCTGAGCTTTCGATGGGGCCACGGGCGAATGTTGTCTCAACCGATATTGTTTTGCAGATTGCGGGAGGCCCACCAAAGCTCTGGAGCCTCGTGAGCCACGCGTGGCTCAAAGTTTACAGATTGCGAGTGCACTGCCCCTCGCGATCACTGCATGGTCGACGGTCATCGTCGCGTGAGAGTGCTGCACTGCTGCTCGTGGAGCTCAGTCCGCCTCGAGGGTGCTGTTCGGCGAAGCCACTGGAGACTCCACGAGGCAGAACTCATCCGCGGATCGCTGGGAAGAGAAGTCTTTCCACTTGGATTCGTCCTTCACCTTCCAGCCGTAGGGGACCCAGCTCTCTGGGTTGTTCGGGTCCCATGGGATGGTCGGCTCAAGCCCGTGCTGTGGCTTGGTCGCCGCTGTCGTATAGTCGATCCAGCCCTTATTGTCCTTGATCTGCCAGCCGTACGGGACCCACGTCTTCTCGTCATCTTTGTCCCACCAGTGAAGCGCAGGCGGTGGTGGTGACTTACGCTTAGTGAAGTCATGCTCGTCCTCCTGCGGCAGCGAGAAGTCACGCTCCATGCCGAAGGGCCCGACGATCGAGGGGTTGCCGTCGTCCATGAGTGCGGTGGCGTACATCGGGTGCGTGATCACCTTGCCGATCTCCTCGAGCTGGCATTTCATCGCCATCACGTTGGTGCTCTGCGCCAGCTGATGATCCGTCCTGGCACAAGCCTGGGCCTCGCAACGAACAATGGACATCTTGAGCGCGGCCTGGAGCTTCCTCAACTGCGCGAGCCCGTCCTCAACTCGATCCGATACGTCGTAGAACACGTCCGTGGTGGCCCGCAGAATTTTCTGCGATGTCTGGAGGCGGAATTGGTCAGTTCCGACCTGCTGCTTGTACGTCTGATCGTACCCACGGTCCATGCTGCTAGCTGTTGGCACTGCAGATGTCGGTTCGATACTCGTGGGCTCGTGGGGTCGAACTGCAAAGCGAGTTTGAGCCCAAATGTTTGCACCTGGATTGGTCGCGAGTGCTGTCGTGACGACAAGTGAAGTCACCACGGAGAGAAATCTCAAGCTGCGAGCTGCGGCTCTGTGAGTTTAGTTGCAGGGGGAGAGGGGAGGAGGAAGGGGGGATTCCTGGGACGACGAGCCGCAGGAGGCAGGATCTCTGTACTCCCCGTCCCTGAAGGTCGATCTATCTGGCAGCTGGCAGCACCGGGGAATCGCATCGCAGGTCTGATCGAGCTCTGAACTTCGAACAAGTGTGTGGGTTTCGAGGGCCATTATGTTTTGTATTTTTTCTCTGGCGCTAAACGTCATCTCGATCCTCTTCGCTAGCAATGTCTGATGACCGCTGAGCTGCGGGCACTGCGGTCTGGGCCTCCTCGGGTGTCGAGGCGGCGGCTGCGGCTAGCGCGTTCTCTTCGAAGAGTTTGGCGCCCTCGATCCTCACCACGTTGCTGAAGCAATAAACCACCCATGCAGCTAGCGCAGAGATGCACATCCCATTGCCTGACAACTGTTTGATGCACGCCTCATCCAGGTTCTCGAAGAATGGCTGCATGCGGCTGCGGTAACGAGATTGCATCCCACCAAGAACATGGAGCCCCTGGGCTGCAAGATGTTCCAGACCAATCGCAGCACGTTGCAACTCCCATGACCAGACGCAGCCATGCTTGAGCTGGCATGGGAACTCCCTGCCGTGAGAAGACCGCGTGTTCGGCCAGTGGTCCAGGTCCGCAAGGAATTGATTGTCTGAGTCACCAGGCTTGATCGCATCATAAGCCGCATACCGCTGTCGGTTACCAGGACACAGTGACTCGAATACTTCATCACCGCTGATAGGAACTGCGTTCAGGTCGTCAATGTGAATGTGTCGCATCGCCAAGTTCTTCGCTGTGACCTTCTTCAAGTAGTCAAGGTTGGCGCCCATGTACATCGAGCCGCTGCCGACGACTCTGGCCCCGAAAATGCTCTCGAACTCCTTCTGAACCTCCTCGTGGCTCTCTGGACCGATCCACTTCAACCGCTGGCGACAGCACCCAAATGAGAATACCCTTGGACGGTGGTGCGGCTCACCTTGTTGAAGAGGCCCCCATTGTACCCAACTGACTTTGATCCACTCCTGCATCGGACTGGCGAGCTTTTCCTGGACTGGATACCGATGGGAACACTCCTGGAAGAAGCAGTCCTCCTCGCCAAGCTCTGCGAATCTGACCTTCTGGGCAATCCACACGTTGTTAACACGTTCCGATGGGTGGGAGAACTCCTTCAAAGTACTTTCAGAAACAGGGCTCCAACCCACGCACGTGTTGCCTGCCCAGTTCACCCGTAATTTCCGTTGGTCGCTGTCGGCCTCCATCGGCGGGTTCGTTGGGCAGGGTCGGCGATGGTACAGGCAACTTGTCGTAGATCCTTTCGGCCAGAGCCAGCCCCTGTTCGACAGCAGCCAACTGAGCATGTCCTTGTAGCACTTCGCGGCGCACAGCCTCGCGTCCGCCACGTCCGAGCCTTTGTCGATGGTGGGCATCATCATGTCTAAGTATGCCCTGGCCACGGCTGGCAACGTGTCCTCGATGTCGCCAAATACGCAGGAGATCCCTCCATGAAGATGGGCAGCGGTCCACAGCAGTGCCCTTTGAGGTAGCTTACCATTGTCGCACGACCTCTTGAACTCGAAAGTCAGGTGATGGATCGAAGGCTCGTCTGGGAAGGCGTAACGCAACCCTGCAAATAGTTGCTCACACAGCTCCCGCGGCATCTCGCATCCAGAATAGTCGCCAGTGTTGATGGCGCCATGTCCAAGCAGCGCGCGCAGATGGTCAGCAAAAGCGGCACCTCCGCGCAGGTCTGCCATGAGCATCCAGGGACGTTCAGGCCAGCGAGCAAACTCCTCAATGGTCGCTGGGCCAGGGCGTCCTACCTTGAACCTGCGAGTGTGGTAGAACGGCTGCTTGGCACACGAGGCGAAGTCGTCGTCGCATATCGATGCGCTGGCGTTGGCCCTTCTCTTCTGTGGTCTCCCTGACATCGCGGGATCATCGCCTCAGCACCGCAGCGAAGGTCCAATGGGCACGAAGCGCGGCAGGGTGGCCTTAGGCCGTAGGCCGCCGCTCGAGCCCAACTAGCAATGGAGGAGTACTGAGTGGGGGACGGCACAGGCGGAGGCCTCGGAGTAGGAGGACGGGGGCTTTGGGGCCTGGGGATGGCGGAGTTAACAAGGTCACATCAATACAAGCCCTTCAACTCCCGCAGCGAAACACGCTTTGCTGTGGGTTGGTGTGACAGTTTCCAAGGACCACCTCCATTTTCTCTCTCCTCCTCCTCCACGTCGTCTTCCTCGTCCCTTCTTACCATATCCAGTGCCCTGCCTCATCCCGTCATCTCCCTCCTCCACGCTACCGCCCCCCACATCGTCGTCTCCTGCCACATCGTCATCGCTTCAGCGCCGAACCCCTCCAGTGTTCCCAAAGTCCCCGAGTTCTGCGGTACGCCCAACACAGGCCGTGTCAGCTGCGATGTGTCTGGTAGCATTGCATATTGTCGTGTTTTTGTCAGAAATAAGGGTTTTTGCCATTTTGAGCAATTCCCCGAGTTTCCCCGAGTTTCCCCGAGTTTCCCCGAGTTTCCCCGAGTTGTAAACTCGGGGGGAAACGTTGCCCGGGAGATTTTGGCGTTTTGGGCTAGGTTTTCAATCAGATCTGATAAAAACGTCTTCATTTAGAAGCCCTAAACGTGCTCAGTTAGAGCTCATTTCCGATGGATTTGGAGGCCCTGGAGGGCCCCAAATGGCATTTCCAGCCGGGAAACGTTATACCCCCGAGTCCCCGAGTTTCCCCCGAGTCCCCCGAGTTGGGGGGGTCGCCATTTTTAGGAATTCTATCACTTTAGCTGTTTTCCACGGTGTGCAGCTATTCCGACATAGTTTCGCTGTTTTGCTGCATATCACACACTAACTGCGCATGACAGCGCATGGCCTGCCCTTGCCCCTTCGTTTCAGATCTCGCAGGGCGTGCGAGGGCGTCTGACGGGTCTGACGTCGTGAAGGGGAGAAGAGAGCAGCGGCGGCCGTCGACGGCCAGCTGCTCTCAGTTGAGCACCAGCTGGTTGATCAGCTGGCCGAGGTCCTGGCGGGGGCGCCCTCTCTCCCCACCCCCAGGACGGCCGAGGGGTTGAAGGCCCAAGAGGACTGGAGAGGCCCGAAAAAAACTACAAGAGGTTCCCAACCATGATGGCTCCAATCTGGCTCCAACTGGTGGTACCAGGATCCGTTGGGATCCGTAGGGGGGTCGTCTAGGCTTCTATAGGTTGGGCATTATTGGGCATTAGGCCCTAGCCCTGAATCCCACTCGCCCTCACTCGCACTTTCGCGACCTTGCAAACGAATGCAATCCTCGCTCTCATCCCTCACACGTCATCCTCCTCCTCGCAACTGTCGCTAGCTAGCGGTCGTTCCCTCGTCACCTCCCTCACCCTCCTCCCTGGTCTCCCTCATCCTCTTGGCGGGCCGCGCTGTCCTCCAGCAGCCCTGGCGGACTCCGGGCTCCAGTCAGCGGTGGGAGCGAGAGCTTGGCCACCTGGGAGCGGTTGGAGGCTCGGGGGGAAGTGCGCCGAGGTGGATGGCGAGAAGGGAGGAAGAGGGCGAGAGGGCGAGGGGAAGAGGGAAGTGGGGATAGGACGTGCATGTGCGAGAAGAGAGGAAGAGGGCGAGAGGGCGAGTGGAAGGGGTGATAGGGTGTATTGTTTTCTGCTGCATGTCACCTGCTAGTCCTTCTTGCAAGCCTCGACCTCCAGGACGGCCAGATCAGGGATCTCGTCGTTGTCCCAGGCCGTCACCACGGTGCTCCACAGCTCCTTGTGGTCCGCCTTGCAGTCGACCGTGTGGCCGAGGCTCCCCCAGTAAAGGAGACGGCGCTGCGCACCCTCGTCACCTCCGTCGCCATTCACCGTCTGCGACTTAGTGCACTTGGTCCTGCCAACCGAGTGGCCGCACCTGGCGCAGTATGCGTTCCACCCGTTGTGGTTGCCTGTCACCTTGTTCCAGTACTTGTACAAGCTGATGTGCCGATAGTACTTGTTCCCGTGCTCGTCCTCACGGTATGCGAAGTCGCCCGCGTCGTCGTCCGTGGCGCCGCCGTCGTCGCCTCCAGGCGACCCATCTGATTCCGAATCCGACGTAGTAGACGACGAGATTGAAGAAGACGAAGTCGAAGTCGAAGAAGAAGAGCTCGACTCGGACTCTGATTCCTCCACGTCCGTCTCCACCACGTGGCCCTTGCCGTCGTCGACGTCGTCGGACCCGACGACCACACCGTCATCTGCGCCCGCCGAGGGCTTCAGCTTCCGACCACCTCCGCCAAGGTAAACGCCCTTCGAAGTCTTCGCCTTCTTGAGAGCTGGCAGGCTGTCTTCTGGCCAATCCACGTCGCCTATAATGGCCGCTGGCGCATTGCCAGGCGGCGGCTGCAAGCCCAAGATCTCCATGTACGTCGCGTTGGTCCCGAAATGCGGTACCTCGTGGATGTGGGTGCCTGCCATCGGCTCGTTGGCTATCAGCAGCGCCATCAAGTAGTACCTGCTGACCGAGTGCGCCTTGAACGAATACCATTTCTTGTCTGCCAAAGCTCTGAAAGGGTTGGCAATGGCTGCCCTTTTCTCCCTGGGGTTGGGCTGAAACATGTCCTGGCTCTGAACCCCTTCTTCTCACGTCCCCCATCAGTGGACCCTGGACCCTGGACTCCTGGACCGCGCCCTGGACCCCCGAATCTCGCTGACAGTCCTGGACTCCAAACTCCCTCCTAGACCCTTGGGCCCCAGGGCCCCTGAGCTTCCCCCCTGGACAGCACCCCATCAGTACCGATCATTGGCCAGGCACGTTTCTCGCTCAACGCATTCCTCGAAGTCGACAGGTCGGCGTGCAGCCAGCCGTCATGCTCCATCCTCAGGATCAACTCTGCCAAGGTCGCCTTGTTGATGTCTCCGCCGACGAACGCATCGAAGCGCTGAAGCAGGTACGTGGGTCTCCCCAGCGATATGCCGATCTCCAAAGCTGCCTTCCCTTGGATCGTGAACTTATATGGCGGGCCGTCCAAGAAGCCTAGCTCGAAGAACGCGTCGACGAGCTTCTCGATGTGTGGGTTGAGGGAGTGTGTCGGCACGATGGCGTCGCGCGGCGCACCGTCCGGGTACCTCAAGATGCCCCTGACAACCTCATCAAGGCAATCCAGTTGCTCTCTCGGAATATGCGCCTTGAAAGGCTGGCGGAGACCTGCTGTTATGCCAGTGCTGGTAGGGCTCCACTTACGTACCTTCGATAAGATCTCTGGTGGCAGCATGGCTGGGTGTATGGTGTATGGTGTAGCACAGTCGTCGATAGCATTTCCAAGAGCATTTGCGCTCACCAAGCATTCTCGAGCCTCTTCGTCATACCGTAACAGCTTGTGTAAGACCAACGTTTTGACGCCAGTGAGCTTTGGTTGGCCTGGTACCTTCGGCCTTGGAATGCGAGTAATGTCCGCCATTACCACCTTGAAGAAGAAGTACTCTGCAAACTCACAGTCCTGCTCAGCGAAGGCATCATCAGGAATGAGATCATCCTGGCAAACTTCAGAGAGACCCCAACCGTGCTCACAATCGTCTGATGTCTCAGGTACTGCATGTCGTACTTGGAGAAGTTTCCTCAAGGGCATGAGCGCGGTGAGCTGCATGGGCATGCAATACATTGTGCCATCTGCAGACAGCTTCTCGATCACGTGGCTCACGAAAGCGGCCCGCTTGCACGCGGCATCAGCCGTATCGATCGGAGGGACTTTGCCATTCAGCTCAACAGCCTCGACTTGCTTAACCTTGATCTTAGGCAATGGCATCCTGTACTTGGTGTAGGGGTCTGCGTGGTAGATCACATCCCAGAACAGCTTGTCTGAGGAATGCATCGTCTCCAGCTGCTTTGCCTCTGGATGGCGCTCGAGTCCCAATAGCTTCACAGCGGCCTTGCCAGAAGATACCTTAGCAACCATTTGAGTAAAGCGCCAGAACGTGTCAATGCTTGCGGTCATGTACGGGCTGAGGTTGGACATCCTGTTAGCCAAGCTGACCAAAGCATGTCCGTGATTGCGGGCCCGCGAAACTTCATGATGTATCAGAGCATGGGTACCCTCAACCACTCTCTCTGCGCTGTTCGCAAAACGCAGAGTCGCCAAGAAAAGACGAAGCCCGGGCTTGTCGTCTGTTGGATCGCTTTCTGGATCGAATCCCACGTCTGCCCACTCGTCCACTTCCGCTCTGAGTGTCGGGTGACTCGCGAGATGATCAGCAACAGGATGACAGTCAGAATCGCCTAGAACTTTGAGCCAACATTCTCGTGCCCTCTGATGGTTGCCGCATGCCATTCCAATGGGGCCGTATGCAGACGAATCGCAGTGTGCCAGTTTGATCGTGTAATATGCGACAATATGGGTCCTGCCGCTCTCCATCTGATCGAGGATGCGCTTCGCGTCTCCCCTCGAAACGTCCGATGGGATGTTGCTGGCGAAGTCTGCGATGTGGTAGCGCAGACGGTCCTTTACGTAGTCGAGCAGCATACCCGCGCACACGTCGTGGCATCGCATGCCTCTCAGTGGGCATTTTGAAGCATGTTCTTTCATGGTCTTGATCTGTTCCTCTGTAAGGTTGGATGCACACTCTTGGCCTCGAAGGCTTTCGAGCAAGTCGAAATGACAAGAGCACGATTCACACCACCTGATAACATCGAACAGCGCCTGTGCGATCTTCTCAAGCATACCCCAGTAGGCCCACCAGTACGGCGTGTTGATTGTATCATCCAGAACTCCCAACTTGACGTTAAACAGTTCCTCTCTACCTTTCTTTTTGCCATGAGTGTACTTGGAAGCATCCCACGCATACCGTAAGGCTGCCTCGACGTTACCAGTAATATTCAGCAGAGTGTTGGCAACTGTGCCCCATCGTTCGACATGACAATGTCCTTTGAATTTCTTGATGGGCTCGAATAAAGCTTTCAGTGCTGGCGAAGATGAGAAGCATGTCGCCTCCAACCGTTCTTTCGATTCAGGATCGTCCAGAAGCTTCGACACCTTGCTGAGCCTCCAGACAGCGTCTTTGTAGTCTGGCATCACGTCCTCCAGGTGATTGCCCGCGTTGTGGCACAGGTGCAACGTCCCGTCGAACTCCAGGCTCCAGGTCAAATTGATAAAATCCCTGCTCGGCGCTGCTGCAGGCTGAGCGAAGTCAACCTTCCGCCGACTGTCGGCCCCAACTATTGCCCGAAGCCCATTCCCCGACCCCTGACCCAGGACCCAGGACCGAGACCCCTGGAACTTCCTGGAACACTGATTTCGGGCTTCAAGCTAGTTCGGATCAAGGTCGGCGGCACCTCGTCGTCGTTCACCTCGCACTCCCTCGTGAACTCCAGCACGTCCTGCACGGCGATGGGCTCGATGCGCGCCAAGCCGCTTTCCGTGCCCTGATCCGACAGCCAGACGGGGACAGAGCCGACAAGTTTGCAGAAGTGGTCGACGGAGGGGCTGAGCAAGAACAACTGGTGCATGATCGCGTGGAACTTCGCCGAAAGATTCGTCCGCCCAAAGCCCAGCTGCACTGCTGGGGCGACGTGCCTCATGATCTTCTCCTCGATCTTCTTCATGATGAGAGCTTCGGAGGTCCAGTCGGCGGCGCGCTGCTCTACAGTCATGGTGTTGTTGCGGCGATCCAGGTCGCTTGAAAGCCCGTGCAATGCAACGAGGTTCTGGCGGCTGATGATGGTCAGAACTGTGTTCTCGTAGTCCCTGCCTCCTTGGGGGCTTGAGTCTGGGATCGGGAACACGACGATACCGTCCACGTCAAGCATGTTCTGGAATAGATCCCGTGCTGTGAGCATCCAGGCCACGTCGACTCTTCCCCTCATCCGCGACAGAGTCGACTTATGTGGAAACCGCCCCGTGACAGACTCCATCTCGAGCGAAACGCAGTACTCGTGAGCAAGCTCAGGCGGGAGCACTGAACGAATTGCCCAAAAGCAAGCCCTCTTCAGATGAGCATCGTTCTTCAGAAACTGGGACGCGTTGAACATGTTCACGATCTCAATCGCGTCGTACTTGGACCTCGCCCCGTTTCCTTCTCTTGCTGCCTTGTGGCACAGCATCTTGTCACCATGGTGAATCAGCAAAGCCAAATGCATGTGGGCTTGGATTGCGTGGCTCATATTCCCTTGGCCCAAAACATTGATACCGTCATACCAGAGGTCCAAGGGCACCTTGAAATTGTTCGCGATCTCGTAGGCTGCACCGGCATTCAAGGTCTTGTACATATCCAAGAACTCTTCAGAGGGCTTGGCGAATCGTTGAGGCGGAAATGAATCTTTCAACATAGTCAGCGGTTGTGCTCGATCTCCAGGTCGCGATTTAGGCCACACACTCGCCCATCTTATCTGCGTCGGCCCTAACAGGTTCAGGTCGCACAGGCTGAACGACGACTCTTGGTGACAACGAACTTGGTGATGTATCATATTCGCCCAACTCCTCGGTAAATGCACTGCGAGGGTTGGCAAGCCGTCTGTGGAGGTGCCTGCGCGTGAAACCCAATCTGGTACACGTCCACCATGCTGCGTTTCAAGGAGATCGATCATGTGTTCGACTTTCGCACCCGGTAGAAGCTTGAAGAAGCCCTTGGTCTTCACCTGTTCGAAGGTCTCGTCGATAAAGACGGGCTCGTCATCCCCAAAGGTGATGAAGTTCTTTACTCCGAAGTAGCGCAGGTGTCCAACATTGCATTCGCCTTCCGATAGGATCGCCCAGAACTTCCTCTGTTCTTCTTCGAACCTGTTCAACTTTCTCATAGCATCCCATATGAATTTAGCTTTGACGAGCATCACACCTTTGACTTCGACCTTGTCGGCCGTTGGCTCCACGTACTCCGTCGCTTCGTAATCTGACAAGATCGTGCGCAGCGTCGCCGTCAGTGCCAAACTGTTTGGTTGAATTATGACTCGCTTGGTGCCGCCTTGGCCATCGTCTCTGCCGATGGGCACTCTGACGACGTCTGGCCACGCCAAAAGCCACATGCCGACTTCGACGTTGGCGTTCATGGAACGGCTCGTCGACAATCTGGCGCTGGCGACGAACTCAAACAGCGTTAGAGGTAGATGCAACCAACCAACATCCTTGGACATGAAGGGGCCGAAGCGGCCCTATAAATCGGTTCGCTGCCCTCCACAGCAAATCTATGAGCCCAAACAGGCTCTGAGGATGGATGCCGGCATGGACGCGGCGGCGAAGTGGGACCAGAGGGGGAAGAGAAGTAGGAAGAGGACATGGACGATGGTTGCCCCGAGAATCCCCAAACATTCCTACAACATCCGTTTTTGAGCCCAAGACTTGTACCATTGAGAGTTCGAATCCCTAACCTCCACAATCAACACATTTGCCTACCTGGTTTGAAACATCGAGTCCTGAACCGCTACAAGAGGCGACATGTATAGTCATTTTGTGCGGGCCCATAGGTGTGGTCCTTTAAAGGGTTCTACTTGGCACCAAACCTCTTCTTAGGACCCCTTCAACCTCTGGGCCCCCCTAAAACGCTGAAGGCGATAAGAAAACCCTCGTCCAGGAGCCCGAGAGCCGCTGACCCGCCTAACACAACACAGCCGGCCAACGTGCAACTTGCCACCGCGGAGGCACATGCTCGTCGACGCCGCCGCAGTCGGTGATTTCCTTGGCCCGGCAGAGGTAGAGGAAGCCCGTCGCGGGGATCGCCGAGAAGACCACCGCGTCGAATGCCTCGTCGCTGAGCTCGGTGCCTCTGGCCCCTTTCGGGGGCGCTGGCGCCAGCTCGCCCTTCGGCCGTGCCATCGTGCGCGGGGCGGCGCCGAGCTTGCGGCCCTCCTTCGGGCTCCCCTTCTGCAGGGGGTCGGCGAGGACCGCGATGCGCTTCCTGCCTGCAAGCGGGTCGCCACCACCCGCGCGCACGTGGCCGCCCTGGAACGCGAAGAGGGCGCTGAGGAGGGCGCCGTCACCCCTGCCCAGCCAGCCGATGTAGCCCAGGAAGCGCAGCAGCTCCGCCCCGCCCTCGCTCACCTGCCGCCGCCTTGTCTCGCTTGAGAGGAGCGGGGAGATGCCACGCCTGGTGCGCCACCACGGCCACTTAGACCAAGCCTCGCCGTAGTTGGTACGTCTACTGCGGGCCAGCCCACCTGCAAGCTTGCGGTGGATCCACTCCTGAAGTTCGCTGAGGACCTGGACGTCCTGCTCCGAGTTGGCGAGCTTCTCGGGGGCGGAGATCATGGCCACGCCGTGCTGCGGCACCTTCACCTTCCGCGGGGACTGGGCGACCGCTGGCAGCTGCTGCTTTCCCACCTCACGTGGGGGGACTCGATCCTGGGGGCTGCCGCCTGGGCCCCGCCGGATCATGCTGGCGCCGAGCGCCAATGCCCGGGCGTCGATGCCGCCCCAGGCTTCGCCCCCATGGCGCCGCCCGGGCTTGGGCGGCTTTCCCCCGCGTCGTGGTCGGGGGGGCCCCCCGCGGACCGCGCGCCAGTGGGCTCGGTGGGCGGGGCCGAAGCAGCCCTCTCCTCCAGCGTGCGAGCCGCTCCTGCATGCCCCTCTCCTTGGCCTCGGCGTCGCGGTCGCCGCGGGCGCCCGCGCCCGCCTCCTAGTCGAGAGCTGTTCCGGCCCAGAGCGCCACAGCCCCTGCAAGCCTGGTGCCGGTGTTCCCCGCCACTACCTTCGCGGGCGCTCGGCGGCCTGCTCGCCCCGGCAGTCGGGCAGGTCCTCGAGCGGGCCGCCGACAGCAAGCCAGGCCTCCTCGAGGGTGGCGCGTCTCACCCGTGGCCCGGGCCCTTGAAGTCGCGCATCAGGGGTGGAGGCTGCCCCCCCTAGTCGGGGGGGGGGCGGCAGCGGGCCGCCCGTGGTGTAGACGACCTCCCGCGGTCCACGGGTGGCCGACGCCGATGGGTAGAAAGCGCTCGTCGGCGCGCCGCATCCGTGGGTCGGCCTCGAAGCGATCCCCGAGCAGCCAGACGTCGTGCTCCAGCGTGTTCGGGCGCTGCAGGATGGGGCCGACCGCCGGCGCGATAGGGCGTTCGAGGTCGAGCGCGTCGAACGTCCACGCTAGCTGTTCGTCGCCCACGTGCCTCGCCCCGAGCAGCGCAGAGCGTCTTCGCGCAGTCAGCTCGCCAACCTCCGTCGCGAGCTGGTCCTCGATGTTGAGCGTGAAGCCGCGCCCCTGGAGGGCCCGCGCGGCTTCGTCCAGGGGCGTCTGCCCGGGGGCGTCGAGCGCCGCCCTCTGCGCCCCCAGCTGCGCGGCTTTCGCGGCCGCGGTGGGCGCGCTGCCGCCCGCGGGGTCGGGGCGAAGCGTTGCCGGCGCGACCCAGGCGGGGCCGCGCTCTGGGGCGGGGTCGACGCCGAGGGGGGCGACTTGGGCCTGGCCTCCTTGCTGCGCCCAGGCCTTGCGGAAGAAGCCCGCGCCGAGGCCCCAGTCGATGGCGCGGCCTGGGGCGGCGGCCAAGGGTGCTTGCCTGAATCTCCTCATCAGCTTCACCTCTCTCAGCTGCAGCGCGACCTGGCCGTCCTCGAAGTCACCGCCGAGCAGCCTCGGGGCCCGTCTTCGGGCCCCGTTCGCCGCCAGGTCTGCCCACTCGTCGGAAGCGCCCAGCCCCTTCAGGCCCAGGTCGCGCATGCGCGCGGCGACCCCGGCTTCCGTGGCCCGTGAACCGAAGTCGGCGGTGGCGTTGTGGCACGTCCTGAAGAAGTGGCCGATCGTGGCGAACTTGTGCTTGCACTCGAGGTAGCGGAGGATCCGGGATAGGTGCCGAGCCAGCCGTGGGCAGGGATGGCGTTTCCTGAGCCAGTTGGTGAAGACCATGCTGTCAGTGGCTAGCAGCCCGACGCGGCCTTCCCGGTAGGGCCCCTGCTTGCCGGCCAAGACAACGTGCGCCATGGCCGCGCCCATGGCCTCCGCGAGGACCCCCTTGTAGACCCCGAGGTCTTGCCTCAAGTAGACCTTTCCCGTCCAGTCGGCCCCGAACGCGATGTAGCTCGTAGCATCGGTAGTCACCCAAACGGCCTTGGCCGCCTCCCCCTGCAGTGCCAGCCGCTCGCGGGCGTCCAGGAGCGCGCGCATGGAGGTCGTGAGGCGGGCCGCCCAAACCTCAGGCCTGGCCGGCAGGAGCATCAGGAGCTCGCAAGTGCCCCAGAGATCCTGCCAGGCCGTCTCCTCCTCACCCGCCTCGACCTTCGGCTCGATGCCCCCGCCGGCGTACGGGGTGAGGAACGCGTCTGCCGACCGCAGCTCCGCGGCGAGGGCCGGCATGGCAGCCGCCCAGCTCGCCCCCTCTCCCCGCGGGGCCCGCATGTCGCGCAGGCGCGCGCCCTTGTAGCCACTGTCGCAGCAGGCGTCGCTGAGGAGGTAGGCTCCCTTGAGGAGCCTGGGTTCGGGGGTGGCCACCTGCATCTCCTCGGTCCGGTACTCGAGCCCCCAGACGATCCTGCGCGTGGAGAAGTAGCCCTCCTGCTGCTTCTTCTCCTGGTTGACCGTGGCCGGACCCAGCAAGCGCCCGATGGTGCGCTCAGCTAGGGGTCGCGAGATCCACGGGCGCATTCCCAGGGCGGGCTCCACTGTCACCAGGTCGCCCATCAAGATGTAGGACTGGAAGCGGCAGGGGCCCTCGGTGGAGGCGTCGGCGGGCGCATGTCGGCTGTGCACCGTGGCCACGCTGTCGCCCCAGGGGGCCCACTCCCCCCGGCCCCCGGCCCAGCCGAAGGTCAGGGCGAGGGAGACGAGCGTCAGGCCCCCCTCCAGGCCCGCCTCCGCGAAGCGCTGCGCGTGCACGGCGTAGTCGTCCTCCTCCTTGGCTCGCGCGCCCGCTGGGCTGGCTCCTGCGGGTGGCGATGCGCGGGCGTCTGGGCGCCATGGGGAGGTCCGCAGCGAACGTGCCGACGTCCGCTGGGTCGACCCAGAGCAGCTTGAAGGCGCCCCTCACGTCGAGCTTCGAGACGGGGATGGCGATCTTGGGGAGCTTCACGGATCACCAGACGATGTGCCTCGCGAGCTGCCGGTGGAAAAGCCGCGCTGCCGGCGGATGCCACGTCTTGTCCGTAGTCTCGCTGGCCCGTCGCTGGTCGTGGATCAGCCTCTTCTCGGGCGCGATCGCGCGGTCAGGGTTCTGCTTGGGCGCGGCCCCCTGCGGTGATGACCTGACCTCGTCTGAGAGACCCCTGCGCCTCTTGGGGATGACGAGGGCGCGGCCCGCGTGGGCGTCCTTCCAGGATCCCTCGCAGCACTGGTCGAGCGCGTCGGCCGCGCTCGGGCGGGGCTTGCACTCCTCGCGGACCGTGGTGCCGATGTCCCTGGCCGCTACGGCCTGCCGGCCTGATCCCACAGGTAGAGGAGCATGTCCGGGTGGGGGCGGCGGTCCAGGTCGGAGTCGAAGATCCCAGCCAGGTTGTCCAGGCCCAGCTCCTTGCGCGCACCGAAGAGGGCCCGGGCGCTCTCCCCCGCCCCGCCTGCCGCCTCGACGAGGGCCCCCCCCTCTCGCAGCTGCGCCTTTCCAAACTTCCTCGGTCCCCGAGGGCTGCGCCCTGACAGGGGCGACGCAATGCTGGGCCATGCGCGTGGCGAGGTCGCGGTGGCCGTTGGAATCGCCTGCTCGCCTTTCCTCGTGTATCTTCTCTTGTTCCATGCCCCCTTGCTGCTGGGCGCGGTCGGCGGAAAAAGAAAGCAAGGGGGGGGGGGCCTCCCAGCCAACTGGCGGAGCCAGCTGAGGGCAGAGACCTGCCACTGTCCGACTCTGGTGCTCCGCCTCCTCCTCCACGACAGCCAACTGTGGACCCGCCCGCGCTGCCCCTCCAGCAGCGGCCCGCTCTCCGCCCGTCGCGCCAGCAGCGGCGCGAGGGCCCGCGGCGCTCAGGGGCCCAACGGGCACCACGGCAGACAACTCCATCATTGCGCCAGCATCGGCAGCTCCAGCATCGGCAAAACATGGCGACGTCGACCTGCCCCTCGCGCAGTTTACCGCGCGGGTGCAGGCGTAGCCCTGCCCAGCGGGTGCACCTGGGGGCCGGGTCTTGTCTTCTAACACTCGCGCGCGGCACCGGGACCTCCTCCACCTGCCCCGCGCCCGCCGAGAGGGTCTCTGTGCCGCCGATCTCCGGGTCAAGGTCAGCCGCCTCAAGCTGTCCCTGGGGTCCCGGAGCTCCTTCGCAGTCTCCTGCCGCGCGCTCGCCTGCCGGCGCCGCGCCTGCGAGGATGCCCTGCGTGAGGTTCTCGACGCACGTCCAGGGAATAGATTTGCGATGCCCGACAGTGGCGGCGGCTAGTGCCCGGCAATGGGACCTCGAGGGGGACGTGCATGCGTTGGCCGCAGCAACGCTTGGCGATCCAGCGGACAAAGTGCCTCGAGGCCCGAGCCGCGATCCAGGTACGCTTGCGGTAGCGTGCTCCGTCATCCCCATCAGGACCATTTCCGTGCTCGCAGAAATCAAAAGGGATGATCGTCACGTCCCTGCGTCGGAGGAGATGGCGCCATCGCTTGGTTTCCCAGATAGCGGGGTAGATGCCGTCGGGGGCCGGGTTCTCCGCCCAGACGAACTCGCCATGGTCGAGGGCGCGCTTGAAGACCCTCGCGGAGAACTCGGCGATGTCATTGCCCACCTCCTCCGATGGTAGGAGCGGCGCAACGCCCTCAGGGTGCGCCGCCGTGCGGGCACCGCCGTTGCAGCGCATCCAGGAGCAAAAGCTGGCGCAGACTGGCTCGAGCCCGATGACGTTCACCTCGCCCTCGTCGATGTCCCGCAGGATTAGGCGCCGCGCGCTCTCGCCCCCCACGTTGTGGTCTTCCCTGGGGCCGGCGCGCCCCAGCGGATCCTGGCAGTGCTCGACGGGCTCGAGCGCCGCAAGGCCGCGGGGCCTCCAGCCCTGAGTCCAGCGGCCTGATCCTGCCATGATCTCCGGCGCGACGAGCCGCTCTCCAGGGGCAGTCACCGCGTCAGGGATGTCGTGGTTGGGGCAGTGGTAGTGGCTCCAGGCCTGGAGACCCCAGCCTGCGATGGTCAGCGCGGTGTCCTCGCCGTAGGCTGTGGGAGGGTCGATGGGCGTGACATCGCCGGCGGCCCGGCCGCCGTCCTGCTGCTTGTTCTGCAGGTACTTGCAGCGCAGGCAGGTCCTCGGCTGGGGGGCGAACGCTTCGGGCGCCCACTCCTTCGCTTGGTCGAGCGCGGGGGGCTGCCGCCCCAGCTGCTGGCGCGCTGCGCAGGGTCGACCAGCAGCGCCTGCTGTTCGGTCTCCAGGCCCACGCGGAACAGCCCCATGTGTTTCTGGTGGATCAGCAGCCAGCATTGCTTCGCATGTGGGCCCGCGGCGGATCCCGAGACGCTCTCGAAGTTGACGCGGCCCAGCGAGTCGACTCGGACGAAGTCGAGGACCACGTCGCTGAGCCGCTCCAGCGGGAAGGCGCACAGGCTCCGGTAATCCTTGTGGTGCGGGTACAGCACGTCGTGGATGAACCCGCGCACCTCGCGCTCGGCGCGGTCATTCTTCTCGGGGGCTTCCCCGAGGGCCCTCGTGGCCTCGGAGGCCCCTGCCCGCAGCTCCTCGCGCAGCTCGGAGGCGAGGGAGCGCGCTGCCTCCGGGCTGGGGGCCCACTCCTGGCCTGCTGCTCCGCCTTCGGGTGGGTCAGCATGCACTGGCGCTCCTCCAGCTCGTCCTCGGCGAGTTGCAGCGCCTCACGTAGACCAGGCGACGGCCGAATCAGTCTTGCGCGTCGCGAAGGTCAGCGCCGCGAGCAGGAGCTCGCCGCGCCCGCGGCCGTCTCCGTCGGGCCAACACGGCTGCACGACCTCTGCGTAGCCGGGGCCTGGCCCGATGGAGCCCCCAGCAGCCTTGCGAATCTGGTCGGAGTGATCGCCCGCCTCCTCCGCTGGAGCCGAGGGCCCACTGTGCGCGAGCTCGTCGAGGATCGCGTCGATGGAGAGCTCCTCGCCCCTGAGGCTCCCGTGCAGGAGCTTTCCTTTGACGTAGGACTGGGGCTGGCGGCTTCCCTGTTCCAACCGCCCTACCTCTGGGAGGGCCGCGATCTTGGCGATCTGCTCCCGCCGCTCCCCGACCTCTTCTGGGGAGCGGTCGGCTGGGTCCTCGGATGCGACCGCCGCGCCCGGGGTCGGCAGGTCGACGTCGTTTTCCCGGTCGAAGGCCGGGCCCCCCAGCGTCTCCATGAGCTCACTCTCCGCCGCTGCGGGCGCGAAGGCCGTGAGCTCCTTTGGGGGGGCCCAGTGGACGCGCCCTTGGGCGTCTGCGAGCCTCTGCGCGGTCTTCCCGCAGCCCCGTCCGTCGTGCTGCTCGCGCCTCGCGATGCCCTCCTTCACCTTCGTCGCCGCCTCCTCGCGGGCCGCCTCCTTCAGCTGGTCGATGCGGCCGTCGACCTCGGACGGGGGAATCGGTTTGTCCGTCTTGAGCCCACCGCGTCTGATGAGCTGGGCTTGGACCGTCCAGCGCTGCTGCTGAAAAGGCCCCCTTGAACGGGCGGCGCGCGCGATTGCTCGCACTCCTGCGCCGATCTCTGGCATCCGCGATGGGTTGCAGCTCCCCGGCAGTAGGGCTTCTTGGAGGTTTTGTCGATGGGGGCGTGGGCGACCGAGTCGGAGCTCTCTTTGGGCGGCAAGCGCTTCACGGCTGGGTAGTCGCGGAACCCAGGAGTGCCGGCGCTGCCACTGGCGCCGCGGGTTTCACTCGGGGCCTTCAGCGCCTTGCGAGTGAGGCGCCAGGGCGTGCGTCTGTGCTGCCGCTCAAGGTGGGGAAGGATCGTCTTCCTGAACGAGGCCTCCTCCAGATCTCACTTGAAGCAGGTGGGCATGCGCAGGAGCGGGTTGCCCTCGCTGTCGGGGGAGAGGGCCATGTACTCGATCTGCTCTTGCGCAACCACTCCCTACCTGAGAGCCTCAGCAGCTGTCGGTAGACGTCCTTGATGTTCTCCCGCCATCGCCAGTTGAGCTCCTCGAACCATCCGTGCACCTTCTCGCGTGGAGATCTGCCCGGGGCGTGCTGACGCAGGTGGGCCAGCCTAGCCCTGCCAGCTCTCCCTTCGAGGTGACGAACGCCTTCTTGATGGCCTGGTAGAGCGACGTCCCGGTGTAGGTGGGGCAGACCTGCACGTTGAAACGGTTGCAGGCTAGGGCGAGGAAGACGACGGCCGTCTCCTCGCGGCCGAGCCCTTGGGGCGTGCCCTTCGACCCCTTGGAATCGCTTTGATCCCCAGGCCGATGTCCTTCAGCGCGGCTGCGATCTGCCCGTCGCCCGTGGGACCGACCTCCTCCCCCACGCCAGCTCGGCGCTCGCCCGGGGGGGCGTGGCGCGTCCCGTCTGCGAGGATCGGGCCGACGAGGTGCTGCTAGCTGCGGTACGAGGGGCGGGGTCACGGTCGGCCGCGCCAGCATCGCTCCGCCCCGCAGAGCCGGGTCGGCGCCGCCAAGCCCCCATTGGGGGGAGTTGCCCCCAAAGGGGCGGGCGACCGATGTGGCCAGGCCCGGCGGGGCCGCGGGCGGCGCGGCAGGCGCGGCCCGCGGTGGGGCTGCCGAGTGGGGAGGCGCCTCCTCCCTGGGACGCTCGGCCGCCTGGTAGCCTGAGCGCAGGGTACGGAGCTGCCTGCGCCACTCGGCCTCAAGGCCCTGAAGGCCTCGCCCGCCGTCGTTGACGTACTCCTCGGCGCCCCTCAGGAGAACTTTCAGCACGTCTGCGGTCTGGTCCCAGTCGCATCTGTTCAGCAGCCTCTCCAGTGCGCCGGCGTCGCCCTTCTCGGGGTAGCGCACGCGATCCCTCAGGCATTCCCTCAGGCACTCGGTGGCGCTCGGCGGGCTCGGGATGATGCCTGAGGGGGACGCCTCGATCCCATCGAGCCGTGCGACGAGGTCGGAGAAGGCGAGCCGCTCGAGGCCCCTGGCGTCCCTGCGCCGTGCCGCCTCTGCACTGGGGCTGCGAGGTCTGGCCTCGCCGTGCTCTGGGCGAGGGGATTGGTGCGGTGCTGGGGGCGGGCCCGACTCGTCGGGGGCACGATCGGCGGGCCCCGGGCGGGCCATGGCGGCCGCGAGCGCTGCGTCGCGGGCCTCCTGCAGCACCTGGGCCCCTTTCCTCCTCTCCTGCTGGTCCGCCTTGAGGTGGGCCCTGCAGAGGAGGACGCCCTCCCGCCGTGTGAAACCCAGGGTGTTGCAGTCCGCTTTGGCGCAGGCGTGGGCCCGCCGCAGCCCATGTTACCGCACTGCACCTGGGGTGCCAGGAGGACGATATGGTCGGTTCTGTTTTCGCGCCATCCGACCTGGTGCGCCATGCATGGCACGCCCTCGTCCTCGGTCTCCGACTCGTCGCGCGGCTTCGGGTCGTCCACCTTCGACGCCTGCTGGCGTCGTCGCCAACGGCACCCGCAGCAGGCCAGGCAGCAGCAGCAGCAGCAGTAGCCCCCGGCGCAGATGAGCCCCCATAGGCATCCCGGCACCCCTGCCAGGCTCCGTGTGGTCCGCAAGCAGCACCAGCCCAGCGGCGTGTGCTCCGCCACCTCGTCGAGGTTGACCACGGCGTCGGCGGCCACCACGGCATAGAACTGCCAGTGGGCCTTCAGGGGCTCGCACTCCTGGCAGGGGCCGGCCTTCCGGCAGAGGTGGAGGCACTTGGTCGTCGCCCTTTCGAGGTCCTTCCGCAGTCGCCTCGACGTCGCCCTGTACACCGTCTCGTAGTCTACGATAAGTAAGGCCGTGGGCGTTGGTCCTGGCGTCGCTCCAGCGTAGTGCCACCCTGGCGATCTGGCCGTCGACTGCGAAGACCACATGCCGTGCACTGTCTGCTCTGAGCGCCGTCTTCAGGTCCCTGTAGAAATTGGTCGGCGGCTCCTTCCCCAGGCCAGGACCATATTACTGCACCTGCTGGGGCTCCTTGTTCAGCTGGTCGGCCGTCGTCACTGCAATCGTCCTGTTGCGGTCCTGTCCGCAGCCGCGTTGCCTGCACCTCGAGAGGAAGCCGCACAGGGGGATGCACACTCTCTGGACGACCTCCAGGGTCCAGGCGCACAGCGTCAGGATCACAACGACCAGCAGCGTCAGGACGGGCCGAAGAGGAACCGGCCGACAGTGCGGATCGGGTTCTGCGGTCGGCTTCACGACGCCGGCCACGAACCGGTACCCCACGATGAAGATGCCGGGGAACTCCTCAGACTCCGCCTCCTCGTCTGGACCCGCGCCGCAAGTGCCGCCCTCCCCCGGGCTGGCGCAGCGTCGCGGGCTGTCGTCGGAGCCCCCGTTGTTGTCGGCGACCGAGCTGTTGTGTTTCGCGCTGCTGCTCGTGCCGTTCTCGTCATCCGTGCGATTGCCGTCCATGTAGTGACGCAGCCGCTCCCAGTCGAAACCTGCGGCCGAGCCCAGGAGCAGTGGCGCCCACCCCGCCCGCAGGCCGAAGCCCTGGGCGAACTGCGCCAGAGCCGGTGCCTGGGCCGCGGCAGCCCACACCGGCAACATCGCGCGGCCGAGCGCCTCTCACCCCCAGCGCCAGTCGGGGCGCCGGGGCGGGGGCGGCCTCGGGGAGGCCCGGCGGGCACGTCGGGCACCCGCTGTGGCCCCCCGTCAGGGGCCCTCCTTCATTGAAAGAGAAGGGCCAAAAAGGGGCTGCAGCCGATGGAGATAACCGATGGCAGCAGCACCCCCCTTCGTTTCTCCCAGCCGCTCAAAAACCCACGGTTTAGCAAACGAGTTTACAAACCTATACTAACATGAGGATGTGTGTGTGAGGATGTCTCGGGAGAGACGCTTGCTTTCACATGTCCAGGTCGCCCAGGCGGATGTCTAGCATGAGGATGTGTTGAGGATGTGTTGAGCGAAACGCTTGTTTTCACGTGCCCAGGTTGCCCAGGCGGATGTCTAGCATGAGGATTTGGGCAGGATGTCTCGAGCGAAACACTTGTCCCCAACACGTTCCGTAGCGCGTCCCCTTGGCACGTCCCGCGGCGCGTCCCCGTGGCATGTTCCCTGGCACGTCGCCTGGCGCGTCCCTTGGGACGTTCCGCGGGCGCGTCCTTCTGGCATGTCCGCCTGTCAATTAGCTCTGGGGCAGATACTATGTGCTCAGGCAGCTCGAGCATAAGACCCAGATCAGTTCGGTCCGGACTCGGATGCAAAGGAGGACTCGATCCACAACGCTACAAAGCACTATCGCGGCATGGTACATCGCAGTTCAGCACGGCGCAGCACAGCACAGCCTTCGAAACGGTACATTAAGATCGACACGCTCAGCATTGCAACCTGGCATATCCCGTGGCGAGTCCCCCTGGCACGTCGCGCTGCGCGTCCCCTGGCACGTCCCGTGGCACGTCCATTGGCACGTTCCGTAGCGCGTCCCCTTGAAGGGACGTCCCGCGGTGCGTCCCCATGGCACGTTCCCTGGCATGTCCCTTGGCGCGTCCCTTGGGACGTTCAGCGGGCGCGTCCTCCTGGCATATCCGCCTGCCAATTAGCTCTGGGGCATCTACTATGTGCTGAGGCAGCTCGAGCATAAGATCCAGATAAGTTTGGTCAAGACTCGGATGCAAAGGAGGACTCGATCCACAGCGCTATAGAGCACTATTGCGGCATGGCACATCGCAATTCTGCACGGCGCGGCACAGCACAGGCCTCGGCACGGTACATCAAGATCTATACATTCAGCATTGCAGTTGCCCGTCGCCCAAGCAGGTGTCTTTGAAACGTTGCCATGCCTAACATTTCTATACAATTTCCCGGTTTCGTGTGTCGATCATTTTTTTTTCCAGCCATCCCCGAAGACATATAATATTTCTCAGAAGGCCGGAGGGTTTCTGAGAAGCCCCGCCGCCTGCGAGAGTGTCTTCTCCTTCTCACCTCCCCCCATCGCTCGCTGTCGACTGTCGGCCATGGCCCTGGGGCACGGCACAGGGCCCCCAAAGGCCGAAGTTGGGCCACCTCTCGCCTCTCTGCCCTGCCCTGCCGCCCTCGAAGGAGCGCCTCCGAGCCGCTCCCCCCCCACCCCTCGGGGGCAACGACGCTATTTCCTCCTCCCTCGTTTTCTACTTCTCCTCCGTGGCTTGCGCATCGCAGGGTAGAGCCCCCTTTCCCTCAGTGGGAAAGCTTGTAATGTTCACCATCACTGCATTGGCTCGTGGAAAAAATCCCCCCCTGGCGTTGCCATGTCGCCGTGGCAGGTAACGCACGCAGCACCATGCCTGGCAATATCATTCCTCCCTTTCCTCCTCCTTTCCACGCCTGCCAACCCGCGGCCTTTCCTTGATCCCGCGCCGGCCACTGCCACTGCCAGACGCATCCTTTTGCAATCGCGCCTACGAAGTGGCTTGTTCGTTCGATCTCTTGTTGCCCCCCCCCCCCTCCCACGGTGGAGGTCGAGCTCCGCTGGCGCCGCCGCGGCGGGGAAGGGGCGAGGCGGGGCGCTCCTCGCAAGGCCGTGAGCTCCTCTGGGCCTTCCCTCGCCTCCCACGCATCGCCCCCCGTCGCTCAGAAAGACCGCAATCGGGTTGGGTGGATGGGGCTGGGGGATCTGATGAGGCCATCCGCAGTATTATGTGTTTCCCCAACCCTTTCCTCCCAACGCGATAATTGCTTATCTCGCTCACGAGCGGCGAGGACATCCGTAGGTTAGGCTCGCGTCGTGTCGACCGGCGGCGACCCCGCCGCTGGTATTGTTCAGCGTTGAACGCCGCTGGAGGCCCAGAATCGGTCGATATTGAACGGTCTGGCGTTTCGGAGACGGCCGATCGTTCAAGGTGAAATGATCCCCGCGGTGTCAGGAACTTGAAGTATCCGCACCCTCGCGGTCTGGGCTCTGGGGCGCGATCCAGCGCATACGCGGGCGCACGGGCACGTTCGGCGCGAGGCATCCGCGAAAGATCGCCCCGCGCCCGCGGGGTCGCGGCCCAGGGGCCTGGCCCGCGGGGCCGCGGATGCGATTCGTGTTTCGTTCACGACACCCCAACCCTGGGCTGCCACGAGGGGAGCCCCGCGGGGGAGCAAGAGTGCCCTTTCCCCCCTCGGGGCAGGGAGGGGGGCCCCAGGGGGGCATCGAGGATCGAGGTGCAAGGATCGAGGTACGAAGGCTGGAACTTGTGGGCGTTCTCGTGGCCTTTTGCGGGCCGCTTCGGGGAGTCCTTGCTGTCACGGCCAGACACGCCTTGCCACCGGCCAGGGGTAGATCTCCCTACGGGGGGCTGGGTCCCAGGCGAGGTCTGCGCAGTTGTCACGTCGTTTTCTACAGAGGCCAGTGCTTGCCAGGACGTGTTGTGCGCCTCGTTTCCACTGCGACCTTCCGAACTGCACCCGCGCATGTTTCTTTTTTGTTGTATCTCGTCTGCGCTCTTCCTGCACAGGGGGATGGTATTCCCCCTCGTCTTTCTGAAAGGTGCACGTCCTTTCCTTGCCCTGACGTTGTCCCTCCCTTCTCCCCTGTGTCCTCTTGCCCTTCCCGAGCCTGCCTGCGTGGGAAACAACGTGCGCAACCCATAGCACATCACAGTCCCATTGCCACGTTGATATTGGATGGACATGCGCACCGACCTTCATGTCTCCATTTCGCCAGCAGGAGGTTTATGCTTGAAGTCATCACATCGGTATCCCCAGCAACTCCCGCATTGGACTCCTTCCACCCTGTTCCCAAGGGGGGAGGATACCGAGGGGAAAAAGATCCCTCCCCCAGATTCTGTTGCCCCACCCCTGTTCGGCCCCCAAAATACCCTCGACCTCCTCAACGACTGACCACTCCCAAGAAGCCAGCGACAGACCCCTGTCAGTGACAGACCCCTGCAGGTGGCGCGCCGCGTAGATCTTCAAGGCCATCCGCGGATAATCCCCGAGAGTCCCAGATCGGCCACATCCCGCGGACTCATCCGTCAACAGGCGAGGCCTCTCTCTCGGGTCGGACGGAAAGGGTGAGGATTGGGAAAGGGGGGGGAGGGTCCGACATTTGCTGCATGCAGCTGGTCTCGGCAACGCCGACGGGCGCTTTCCGCATCCGCCATACACTGGCGCCTCCAGCGCCAGGAAAGTCAGCTACATAAGCTGATTCGCCATGGGACAACCACCTCGTGACGTGGTACGGTGGGCTTTGGGCGACGCGGATGACATCGTCGCACTCGCGCCACAGGTCCGCATGGTGGGTCTCGCTTCGCTCGCATGGGCGCTGGGCGCGAGGGTAGGGGGTGTGGGTGGGGAGGGGCAGGGTGGGGGAGTAGGGCTACGGCGTCCGCGCCTACGCCTGGCGCTCCTTGCCGCGTCGGCCCGGAGGACCGAGGGGCAGCGGCACGCGCGGCGGGGCGTAGCGGGCCTCGGGGCCCTTGAGAGGCGAACGTGCCTCGCGCCGAGTGCCCTCTACGACACCCCCCTTTTCGTCCAACCCCACTCTCGCAGTTTGGGGCGGTTGGACGCTCGGCACACTGCTGCCGCCCCTCGCTTTATGCGTGGGTGGCCAGGCGGCCGTGGTGGCTGGCGACGGCGCCGCGGCGACGCAGCCCTCGAGGGGCATCGAGCTGCTCACAGGCGGGCCGGCAGTGGGGAGCCCCGCCTTCACGCGCCATCTGCACGGGCGTGTGGCAGAGGTGGGCCGTTCTGAGCCGGCACCTCGGCACGGCAGAAAGATCGAGCCCAGATCTCCGCCGATATGATCTGTTCAATCCTGGCGTTTTTCCTCGGTTGCGGCTTGTGCGGCCCGTTTTCGGACACTGGGGCCATCACACATGAATCCAGGACGAAAATCAGCCCCCAGGGCAGGGGTCGGCAGCTCTGCGGCCCAGAATTGTAAAAATCATATCTGAGGATGGCCGGGAGGATCAATGACACGCCGACGTTGGGAGCCTTTTCAGCGTGTTGTTCATTGCTATTGTTGTCCGACGCACGGTGCTTCGTCAACAGGAACACGCAAGACGGCGCGTCATTGATCTGCCCCACGTGGAACAGGCCAGTGATGAGTCGGATCAAGTCCTCAGGCTCGGTAAAACTCGTGTTGATGTGTCCGCGAAAGTTGCTGCCCAATCCCACCCTTGTGCCAGTTCGGACGCGTTGGTTAAACTTGATCAGCAGATTGATGTGTCCAGAGTGGCGGGAATCCTTGTAGCTGCCAAGTTGTTACCCGAATGGTCGCCACTCAGGCTGTGACCTGAGTTTGTCAGGGAGCGTGCTGCAGACCTGGGAAACGCGCTCAGCACTCCGCATCAACGGCAGCATATAGGAGGTCGTTGGAAGTGTAAGGTCTATTTAGTTGTTCCTCGGAGGGTGAGGCTCCCAGAGAACCTGTCGGATGCTTCTGGATGTTGGAGCCGCCACCCACTCTCAAGGGTTGTTCTGGTACATTTCGTCTGGAGTTGGCCCTCCTGGAAGAGCGTGGGCATACTTATGTTTCGCTGCTGTATTCGTACTCCTCCAGGCTCATTGTCTGTCTAAGGTGTAAAACGTATTGTGGGCACGACAATGCCAGGAACTTGCTTGTACGGTATGGTACGGTCCCTTCGCACTCAGGGAGCTGTGCATTACTGGTCCAGGATATCGAGAGGGTTGCATCCGATGATCGAGCACTAAGATAAAAGGCGCCGCCAGACCAGGAAACGCCCGCTTGTTTTTCTCAGCCTGAGTCTTGTCGTCCAATCCTTCAGGCAGGAGGACGCCGAGGCTCCCCTAGTCCCAACAAGGAATGTAGGAGACGGTTCGAGCTCGGACTAATTGGTAACGTGCCCCTTTGAGCGCGTCTTCTGCCCTCGGTGTGGGTGGGGGCTCCTCTTCTCCAGACGGGCTTCTCTCTCTCTCTCTCTATCGGGTATGTGGCGGGCCTCCCTGCCGCTCCGTCGTTGCTCTTTGCTCTTTGCGATGTGCCCTTGGTGGCGCCACTAGGCAGCGGGCGTCTGCAGCATGGTGGTCTGGCCGTGCAGGTTTCAGGCGGTACCCCAGAGTGGAACGTGGCGAGGTTGCCATGCGTTGTGTGTCATGCCCTCTTTCTTTCTTGGCCGTGTCGGTGATGGCTCCTTCACGGCCAGTCTCTATTTCCCGGAAAGGGCGGGGGCCCAGGGTTCTATTTTAGTAGGTTCATCCCCACCCTGGAATCGACTTGAGACGGGCCGGCGGAACAAGAGGTACGCGTGCCAAGGATCATACAATCACGGATGCGGGACAAAGGGAGGTAGAGATGACGCCAATTCGCGGTAGTTTCGGGGAAGCGCGCGAGTGCTGCGACACGCTGTCGAGTGACCATAACGGAGGAGCGGCGAATAGCACCATGGCTGTGTGGACGCATCGCTAGGTTCGATTTGAAGGAGATCTGAATATGACGGGCGAGGTTTGTGAGGTTTCAACGGCGTGTTTTATGATGCAGGCCACCTGTATGGAGCGAGACGCTTGGTCCCAAGAGGGCGGGCGCGACGATCCGCCACTGTATTTTCAGCGCGTTGTGGAGTGTTCCAGAGCTCCTGCAGCCCTGAGAGGCAGGGGGGTTGTCAGGTTCTTCAGGGCCCGGGCCCTTGGTTTCCCAGGCGCTCTTGCGCGCTCTCGCGCGGGCCCGGGGTGTGTCGCGTGGGCTTTTGGGGCGCCACGAGGGCCCGAAGACAGGCCAAGAGGGCCCCAGAGATTCCCAAGACCGTGGAAAATGGCACCGAGTCGTCGAACGATCGGTCCAAGACGTCCAAGATGGCCCCCGGGCGGCCCAAGATGCCCCCGATATGCCCCAAGAGGCCTTCAAGAAACCTTTCGAGAGAAACCACCCGGGGACGTACCCAACCCGTTGTACACATGAGGCGATTATACATCGGACTGCTCTATACAAAAACACGCACTGAGGGATCCGCCGTGCTTTTGAAAGCTGCGCCAACGAACGTTGGACCAGAGTCAACTATTTCACATTCGCGTCATCATTCTTAAGAGTCAGATCGCTGGCAGGAAGGCGACCACGAGGGGGCGTGGAAACACACTGATGAGGGGGAACTGGAGACGTGCTTCGTGGGAGTACCAGCGCAT